ACCCAAAGACATGTCGGCAGTTAGTTGGTGAAGTCCTCTGAGCGTGATTGAATGATGGACAGAGAGGAAGGAAAGAAGAAATGAGCGAGCGAAGGGTCTGACAGCTCACATGAAAGATGAGGAGGATTATTCAGCTGTGATCTTATGTAGCAAATCCTTCTACTGGACGAGCACACACACAGATTATTCTGATCATACACCGTTTCCTGATTTAGTTTCTCTGTGCATTTTTTTGTTTCAATTGAACCATTTCTTACTTTGATCATTTATCAATCTGTTCAGCTTATTCGGGAGAGTTTGCAAAACACTAATAAAGTCCCTCTGAGGTAATTTGAGAAGACTTTGAATGTCCATCATCTACAATTTATGATCTTATAAACAGATTATTTTAAAACTCTGAGCTCAAAGACTGAAAGTCAGTATTGGATGGTCATGATGTCCGGGCCCTCCGGGACCTCAGTATTAAAAACAGGTGTGGTTCTGTTCTGGACTCAGGGACACTTCCACACATCATTGTCTGCAAACACAGTTCACTGTGCCCTCCAATAATGCTGCTTAAAGCTCTGTCCCACAATAAGAAGCCATATATGAACACCATCCAGAACTGCTGCCATCTTCTCTGAACCAGAAATCTTTTCAAATGAACTGAGGCAAAGTGAGAACTGTTCTGTGGTCAGATGGATCCAAATCTCCAATTCTTTTTGGAAACTGTGAACACTTCATTCTCCGTACTGAATAGAAGCATCCAGCTTGTTTTCACAGTGCAAAAGCCTGCCTCTCTAATGGTATGTCGGTGCATTAGTGCCTATGGCATCCACAGCTTACACATCTGGCAAGACTACATCAATGCAGTAGTATACAGACAGTTTTAGAATAATAACAAGATGATGCTAAAACACATTCTGCATCCATTAAACAATATGGATTCATAGTAAGAGTCCAGGTTCAGAATGGACCTGCCTGCAGTCCAGAACCTCTACCCAGTTTACAGGGCCAATATTATGTGTTTCTCAGGCATATATTTAAATACTATACCATAATAAAGTATCTATGTCACCTTTAGCAATTATAAAAAATGTTTTTTAATGTTTAAATAGAAAACAAACATATCTTCTTATCACTTCCTCTTCTAAACACCTTGAAATTGGCCTCTGTCTCTTTAAGAAACTCCTTCGCTTCTGTCTCACCCATTTCAGTGTGTGTGTGTGTGTGTGTGTTTAAATAGAAAATAAACTTATCTTCTCATCACTTCCTCTTCTAAACGCCTTGAAATTGGCCTCTGTCTCTTTAAGAAACTCCTTCGCTTCTGNGAGGGTGTAATTACAGCAAAAACCAGCAGATGTCGACTCGATCACACAAACACAGCTTTGAAAAGAACCCGTGACGTTTCACCCCTCCCTCGGGGAGAAACTCACGTTCAGTGACGTAATTACGTCGTGACGTCATGACGCCGTGCGTCAGACCCAAAATGGCGGCTGCCCGGACCAAAAGCCAGCAGCTTCGCCAACACGGAGCCAAACCTCCGTTTTTACGCTCACCTAGCGTAACTTTTATTAGCTCCACGTAACCCAAAGCAAGGCACACGATTTATAAGCTAAAATCCGTGACTCTCTCACAGAACAACAGGGCAAGACACTCTGTGCGCGGCAGATTTAGACTGAATAAACAGCTAGCTTCCCTGATTAGCACTTAGCAGTGCTACTTCCACACAGCAGTGTGGATCAGACTGTCGTCGTCTGAATAACGCCTCGGCACGGAGCTAACAGCTTCTTAGCCTCTGACGGCGCTAATGACTCCCTACACGTTATGTTTATTTCTATAAACCGTGTTGACAAGTTTCTGAGTCGCGACCTCAGAAAGCCTTATGTCGTGGAGTTTAAACTGGCTACACTTACGCGTAAATTACGCACGTATCCAGACCAGATTTACGGCTCCAAAACCTCACGGTATGAACACACTGGATTTACAAAGGGACCCTTTTTCACTCATTCACACAGATATGAGCACAATGCATGCAATATCGCTTCTCAAGCGAAAAACAGTCACTGCTCTCCAGAGCTGACGGCGCAGCTCCTCCAGCAGGACCTCCCGTCTGCGCGCGGCGGCGCAGAATCACAGAACCGGACCTCCTGTCTGCTCAGTGGCAGACAGTAACAGAACCGGACCTCCAAACGCACTTTTACCAAGATAAACAGATTTTTAACAGGACCAAGTCTGCAGTTCCTGGTACTGTATTCTGAACACTCAGCAAAGCCGTTTTTCTCTTAAAAAAAACCTCATGCCAATGTGAAAAATTAATAATTAATTTTTCAGATTCATAACCAGATTAATATTTCATTAGCCCAGATTAGCATTTTTGCCCGCATTCTCCACCATTTATGTAGCGAATTACTCTATGAAACTTAGGACCAGCCTAATCTTCACAAAGGTAATCCCTCAAGACCTTGCAAAATGAAACCCAGAAATAATGAAATACCTCTGATCATGAAGTGAAAAATGAAAACTTGTGACCTGAACAGATTTCTCAAAATAAAGTAATTTATTTTTAGATATATGAACAGGAATAAACACAAAACATTTAATAAAAATATTATATGAATAAGTGGCACAAGTTATATATTTTCGGCATAAAAACTCCACTCAGAATTGACAAAAACAGTAAATTTCAGGTGTTGTAATTCACTGGCACACTGCTTAACTAAAATTAAGTAAATAAGAGAGAAAAAGGTAWAGATTTAGCTTTAAGAAATAGGAGGAAAAGAAGATTAGTGAATTTGGCACTTGTTCTTTAAGTGCATACCAGACCAGCACATCAGCATGTCAGGACCAGACACCTCCGAGGGCTAGACTTCAGCTTTTATCTCAGCAAACACTTTGTCTACCTTTTGATGTCTTGACAAAGACCACAGGCAGGTGGGTAGAAGGTTTTGAGATTGACCGCCTCGTAAGTCCGCAGGTGGATGATGTCTCTTGACAGCAAAGGGCCGAGACGGACTCCTGTCTCACCCCTAACGAACCTCAGCGGGCTCAAAGTGCCTGGTCTCAGTCCAGTGTTTCATGGCAATTAGTAACATCCAGACTCCGTCCACACAGGCAGGTGCCCATCCGGCACCTCTCCTCAGAGCGACTCAGACAGAACCATGCACTCCGACGACGAAGAACAACTAACTGTTAACTGGCGAGAACAGAAGATTAGTTTGAGAGGGAAAGGTGAGAAAGTACACAATCTGTCTTTCTCAGACTTGGTTRGGCCAGCTGCAAGTTCTTATCAGCAAAAAACCTTGAAGCTGCAAAAGGCAGACTTCACATGCTGTCTTAAAAATCACTTCTCCTAAGCTTAGAAATAACACCACACTTTGCACAAATGGATTAATAATGAAATTAATGGTACACTAATTAATCATTAAATCAATTAAGAAAAATGATCATAAAACCATGGTTAATAAGGCATTACTAAGAAAAAGCAAAATAAAACACATTTCACTCTTTTTCTTTTCACTGTTACACTCTAAAATAAAGAAAGAGATGCAAAGATTAATTCAATAACTTTGAGTAATGATATATTGATCAAAACCTCTAATAGAAGATTAAATGAGATAATATATATATAGGACTTTTGTCCTATTCAAGTAAAGAAAATAAAAACACTTTAAAATGATTTTCTTCTTATAAGTGTAAAAGATAAAATCAAAGAATAAAAAAATAGAAATGTTTTTTTTTTTCACCAGGGTTACCTCTACAGGTGCATCATGAAAAAAAAAGACTCCAACAAAGGCTACGTTCACACTGCAGGCAAATCCGACCCAAATCCGATTTTTTTGACCCATCTGACTCATATTCGATTTTTTATGACAGTCTTGAACGAGACAATTCAGATTTTTTCAAATCCGACCCAGGCCGTTTCAGTATGTGGTTTTAAATCGGATAVAMAWCTGATGTTTTCAAAGTGACTGCAGTGTGAACGCTCATGTCACGTTCATCTTTTTCATCAGTGAGGAGGGGGTAAAGGATCGATTAGACACTAACCTCAAGTCACGCAATTTAAATCTGCAGCTCCGTGTGTTTACAGCTCCAAAACACAAGTCCAGTTGCTTCATCTTTTTACTTTTCATTTTTCACGTAGATAGTATAATAATAACGATGTTCAGCCTGGGTCGCGGAGAGTATCGATCCTAAAGTTAGCTACTCGATCGATACTTTTTTCCAGCTCGTAGTTTTGTAAAAAAAAAAAAAAAGCTTCGCTGGAGCATCCCGGCCAGAGGCAGCTTCAGATATAAATACTGAACTAAAGAAGCAGGTCAGATAATTATTTAATCGGTTCTGATTAAACAACAACTTCCGATTCGATGCGCAAAATGTATCATTCATGCTAGCTCTGTAAACAAACATGTCGGCTGATGAGACGTCACGTCTTTTACTGCGCATGCGTGTCACATCAGTGCTGTGTTGCGTTCACACAGGGGTCTGATACAGGTCACATTTAAAATGTAATGTGAACGTTCACACAAAAAGATCGGATTTTTTCAGAAAATCGGAACTGAGCATTAAGACCTGCAGTGTGAATGTAGCCAAAGAGGCAGGACCGTAGAACAGCTAGAATTCTCCATCAGACAAGAATGGGACAACATTCACTTTCAAAACCTCTAGACCTGGTCTTCTCAGTTCCTCTAAAACCTCCAGAACTGGTCTAGTCATGTCCTGGATGCTTACAAACAGATGTTAAATGCTGCAGAGGGAAACATGGACCTGTTTCCTCTTGTTCGAGGTGTGTGGCTGAAATCAGATTTAGAACTCTTCCCTTTAAGTGCAGCAACTCATAAGTGTGAACATCTATCAGTCAGTTTCAACATTCCTAAAGTGCATTTCAAGAAACAGCATGTTTGTCTGCAGGAGTCCTGTCCGGAGGCTGGAGCTTTAGTCCTGTTCGAGGCAGGGTTAATTAACTACCGGACATCTAACCTCATCTGGTTTTTTCTTCTCTCTCCACTCCTTTATTCCAGATTGCTGAGAGTTCAAACTCCTTCCTGAACCGCATGCTGAACAGAGACACCATCACAAGAATAACATATAAAAGTAAGTGTGTGCAGTAAGTGAAACATCTCCTCCAACCATGATCAGATAAGAAACCTTTCGTTGGCTGTGCATGTTATCTGAGACAGGTGAACGGACTAAACCTGAGTTGCTCTGAGCTCAGAGCAGTTTGCTGAAGCTTCAGTTGCTGCTAAAACCTAAAGGCTTAATATTTATGGAAGGAATGCAGATCACCCACCTCCTCATTGTCTTACTTTTACTATTCAATTCAACTCAGTTTATTTAAACGTATAATGCCAAGTCACAGCAAATGTCATCTCAGTGCACTGTGCACACACACACACACACACACACACACACACACACACA